CCGCCGCCTTGTACGCGTGATGAATGGGAGCTGGTGACTCCCGCTGGAGAGAGGGAGAGGCTGAATGAGGCGCGCGCGCGGAACGCTGCCTGCTTGTATTCCCAGGGCTCGACGCTGATGGATCGTGTTTGTCATGTCCTGAAAGTAGTTCTAATTATTTAAATGTATTTAACTGACCATTTATCACCTCAGATCTGGAGAAATGCGTCCGGGAGCCGTGCAGGCACAGCCAGCGACTCTGTTTTTGACTTGTACTACAGCAACACGTTTTATTTATAACACGGCGTCACTGCTGGCGGGATAAGTACAACGGTGAGGTGCTGAACCCCCCCCGCCCACTCACCTCTTCCCGTCCTTGTCTTTGCAGGCCGCGGCGTTGCCATGACGACCGCGGACTCTTCCGGAATTTTCCGCCCCGACCCCCGGGGGGCGGGGCCCCGCCAGGACTCCGGCCCCGCCCACGGGGAGGGGGAGGAGGAAGAGGAGGGGCCGACCTCGGCCGACGACGCCAGCAGCGACCTCAGCGCCCTGGTGGTGCCCTACCCCGAGCTGGCCCCCGTCGTCTTCTTCTGCCTCAAGCAGACCACCTGCCCGCGCAACTGGTGCATCCGCATGGTCTGCAATCCATATCCTTTCCGCTCCAGCCCCGGACCAGGGAGCCGTGAGTACTGCCCACCCTCGGGTCACAGCCATCCGTGCTCCCTCAGGCTAGTAGATGACGCGTGGTCACCCTGCGTCCTGGCAGCCCAGCATAGTGATGGAGACACTCTCGCTGTCCTTCGGATGAGGTCCTGACTCTTTGTGGTTCTTGAAAAACCTAGGGTGCTTCTCCAAAAAAACGCAGGCGTGTTACCCCTCCTGTCCTGGTCAAATCCCCCCCTGGCCTTTACCGGTCATGGCCTCCTCATAACCCCCCTCTCTGAACTGGCTCCATCACTCTGCTCTCCTCCCCACTGAGAGCTGGTGTGTGGGGAGCGGACTGGAGCATCATCCAGGTGGGGCTGCACACTGGTGGTAACAGTGGGATTCTTTATGACCTGTATAGCACTTTGAATAGAGTGTCCAGAAAAGCTATATAAGGGAAATGAATTATTACCATGATTAATAATAATAGGTCAGGCCCTGTGTCTCAGAGGGGGGGCTCTAATCCATCTCTGACAGTGATGTGGTCAGTCAAGTGATTGCAAGGAGCGTCTGGATCTCTCCTGTGGCCGCTCGCTCTAGAAGGAAGGGATGACCCGTCCTGCGGGCAGGACGTTCTGACTGGGGATAGGAGGTGCTGAGCTGGAGCGGCCCGTCCCGTCCTCGCCTGGTCTTGCTCTCTAAGCCGGCTCTCCGGGGGGGGATGCTGGGAGACGGGCTCCCCCCGTGGCCCGGGAGCGAGGGTGACATCATTGTTAAAAAAACAGAAATTCAGAAGAATGGAGCAGTAGCCGGACGCAATGATCGTGCTCTGGGTTGTCGCTTTCCTGCCGGTGGTTGTCATTACTTGCCTAAGACCCTAGGTTGGACTGTAGCTCGTTAATTCAGTCACCTAATGGAGGCCTAATGTGGAATGAAAGAGAGAG